GCTGCTGGCCGCGGCTCCCCGCCTGGCGTCGCAGATTCTTTTTTTTTTTAAGTGAAGTTCGTCTCTTCTCCTTTCTTCCAGAAAAAGAGCGCCCCTGAGCTTGTCTAGAGCGCCTTCTCTTCCACGCCAGGGCTGGGGAATGTTCCTTGGAGGGACAGTGTCTACCGCTGGCTGGGGGATGCTGGGAGATGTAGTGGAACAGGTCACTTTGGAACCGCCCCCGGGATCCACCTACCCCCCATGCCTTGCCATGTCCCCTGAGCAGGTTTGCCGGCGGCCCCCCAGGGACAAGTAGGGCGACTTGCCAGCGTCTGGGCAATGCCTGAGGCCCCAAAGAGCTTTGGGAGCCCCCCCTCTTGCCCTGATCCAGACCTCAGGTCATTCTTAACCAAGCAGAGGGGCCCATTCGATATAGACCTGTGGCCTCTTGTTTGTGCCATCACGAACTCCTGACCGGGGCCCCTTCTCGTGTTTTCAAGGTAGGGGAGATATTCAAGAAGTGGTTTTATCGGTGCGACACTCCTGTGAGTGTCCATGGCCAAGCAGAGACTTGAACCCAGGTCTGGTGAGTTCTGCTCCTCCCCGGACACTGGAGCTCCGTCAGAGGTCTTGACCCTTTGGCCTTCTCAGCCTGGCCTCCTTCACGGGGGTCTTTTATCATGTGGACAAAGGGGGGGGGAAGGAGCCTTGCAAGGCTGCTTTGAGCTGGGGGAGGGGGATACAAGTATCACAAACAAACAAATAAATGCTGCTTTTGAGCCTGGTTTGTGACCCTAGGTTTCCTGCAGGCCTGTACTTGTTGCCCCCCCCCCCAGAGAACAGGCCACCAGACTAGCATGGCCTTTGACCAAATTAAAGTGACAGGTCTCTTCCAACATTCCTGTGCACCTGTCTGATCCAGACTGGCAAGACCTGGGTTCAAATCTGCTCAAGCTCCACCCAGCCACGAAGCCCCCTGGCTGACCTGGAAGCTCCGTCCGGCACTCAGCCTTTCCTCTTGGAAGCTTTGGAGGCTCTCCAGCCACTGCCACTTCTCCCGACCTCAGAAACTTGCCTCTCTCTTTTGTGCTACAAGTCCCCAAATCCCCAGCCAACATGGGAGATGTAGTCCCACCCAGCCGCTCTGTGCTTTCCCCTGCTACATCAAAACAACTCCCGAGTGCGTCACACAGCCTGGGAGAGGATGATCTTGCACTTCTCCTCCCAAGACCTCCGTGCCCTGCCGGTTTCAGGGGCGCCTCTTCAGCAAACCCTGCCTTTGTCTCTCCCCCCCCCACCCAACCACATGGTGACATTTGGAAGAGAAACAGACACTCTTTTGTCTTTGAAGAGGGCTCAGCTGGGGAGCCAAACATGCTTAGCAGTTTCCCCATATGACATTTTCAGACGGGTATTTGAGCACACCATCAAGTTTAGCATGTGCATTTTCTGCCCAGAAAACACATTGAGGAAGGAACGGGTCATTGATCTGGGGGGGCAGAGGGGGGGGGAAGGAAGAGGGGACCGATGACGACATCAGGGGTTTCCTCTCTCCAAGATCACGTTTTAGCCATCTCAAAGCTCCGTGTACCAAGTGACAGATTCTGACGCAAGGGGGAAGGGGAAGAAACAGGATGTGCTCTGTGATGAGGGAAGATGCCAGCCACCTTCGCAAGAGGAGATGGAGCAGCAGGAGCAGCAGCTGGGGGAGCCAGGAAAGGAAGACAGGCTGTCCAGCAGTTGGACCCTGGCGCTGGATACTCTCCCGGAGAACCCGAAAGCCAAATCGCAGCTGCCAGAGTCCCAGACTCTCCTTCATCTTCACGTCCTATGGGGGTACTGTTGGAACATCTTTGGTTTCTGAGCTGCGTGTGGGATGATAAATAACCATGCCCAGGATGTCTCTTGTGCTTTTTCAAGCTCTCCATCTTTAGGGCCTCCCTATCAGCAGCACCTTGTCAGTCAAAGACCTTGCTTCCCGCCACCCACCTAAAAGGACACACTTGGGGTCTGTTCAGCCACCTCTGTGCTTTGTAGTTTAGTAGTTCATCAGCTCAGAGACCAGCCCAGTTTCTAAAAGCCCTTCTGCATCGTTTCAGGCAAATCCAGGCCTGTTTTAAAAACCAAAGCCTCAAGGGGCTTTTTGACTTTATAAGGTTCAAATCAAGGAGACCAGAGGGCCGTGCAAAGCACAGGGAATGTTCCTGGACGAAAACTCCCAAAGCTTTCACCACTCGTTGGGCTAACCCCCATCAGCATGCCTCCTGGTCTGACTAAATCTTTCCTAAGCACACGGGGCATTAAGTGCGAGCTGCTTGCAGGAAATGCTTTCTCTCTCCTGCCACCCCTGGGTCTGAGCAAGAGGCTTTGGCCTTCTGTTTAGCATTCTGGGGAGGAAGACAGGGTCTGGCTTCATCCTGCTGCAGTTCCTCCCTGGCCCCTCCCTTTGAACCTTCTCACCTCCTCCAGTAAAGCAGTCCTTGAAAAGACCCAGCTGGAGGGAATGTGAAACAAGAACAAGACAAGACCGTGGAGCGCCCATCCTTTCCCGGTGCTACCAGGCACAGACGCCAGAAGTCTGGGTCCCAAGCACGTATCCAAGGCCTGTCCAGGACTGAAAGCAGATGAAAAAGCATATGAAGGACGCTGTACTGTAGGATTAGTCCAGCCTGGCCAGCCCTCCATTGTTCTCTCTCGGCTCTCCAAAGATGTTGCAGATAGAAGACAATGAGAACCTATTTCCTTTCCCTGCCGTTTCTTGAAGAACATTTGCCTTGAGCTGGTCAGGATCTCCAGCTGCCTGCAAAACCCAGATCCACGGGGTCATAGAGTTGAAAGGGTTCCTAAGGATCAACTACTCCAACTTTCCACTGAGCCAGAAAACTGTGCTCTCCTACTGAGCTAAGATGCTTTCAGGATCTCGGCTCCATCCTCTCTTCCATCACCAACCTGACTTCCCAGCTGTAGGCAAAATCCTAGCTCCCTGGATGTTCAGTCCCATCTCTTCCCTTAATCCCTTGACCTCTCTGTTGTCCTGCTTCTCCACCCAGGGCCCTCGCACAACATAGATGGCTGATCATGTTGCCCTCTGTACCCTTGTCACCACCACCTGCAGGGCTTAAATATGCAGTTAAGCATTTTTTTAAAAAAAGCCCATTGGAAATAACCTGTCTAAACTCTGCTGCTGCTCATTGCCTGCAACTTGTGCCTCGTGCGCCATTCCCTCCCTGCATTTCCTGGAAGTCGAAGGACGCCAGCCATTCACTCCTCACTTAAAGCCGGCGAGCATTCAAGCCAGTCTTGGGATCCAAGGGCCTGACTCACCCCGGGGTGAACATCGGCAACCCAGGCCTGTGCCTTCGCATTGCGCCCTGTAGTTCATAGGCAGGACTCAGGAGGATTGGTTGGGAAATTCCCCCAGTCTCATCTAAACCTCTGGCATGACCACATCTGGAGTTCTGCATAAACCCAGCCTGCTTCCCTCTGAGTCACCGTTGGGAGCCTGCAATTTCGCCGCTCTTTCCCATCTGAGGTTTTCCATCTGCTCTGGACCCGTCATCTCAGCACAAATTTCCCAGCATGCTGGAGGCCTCTGACTCCCACATGGCTCAAGGCAGCCTGCCCGTGCTTCTCCTTGCAGGAAGATGGGTCATGTCTTCCTCCTGGAGGAAGGAGAGACGTTGTTTTGGATCAGCTTGGCCGGAAAGGTGGTCCAGCGACTACATGGCGGAAAACAGAAGGGCCGTGGGCTGTAAATCACAGGAAGAGATGCTGCGGAATACAGACGGGGCTTAATCAAAGCAGAGTCACCGCCACCCACAACAGCTGTATTGTGCAGTCCCAGTGCTCAGCCATGGAGACGTACGAAGGCCTTTCGCTCCCTGGTCAGCAACCAGTGTGGAGGAAGACCTGTACAGGACGTTCCAAGACTTGTGCCCAGTGCCCGCTGAGGACGTGGGCTCTCTTTGTCCACAAAAGCTCGCAAATTCGCCATTTGCGAATGTCCCAAGGGCATCCCGCAACTCTTCCTTTTCACGTTGCAGGAGACTTTGACCTGGTTGCCCCGTTGGAAACGGGCTTAATTCTGGGCTGTAAAAGGCGAGTGGAATCATCCCCTGGGAATCAGATGGGGGGGGGGGAAACCCATCATATATCAGATAAAATCCAAAGAAGCAAAGCACAACAAAACAAGACAAAAACATGTGGTGCCTACGTATTATATTTTAACATTTTAAGCTTTCTTGGACGCATCCCCTTCACGTTTCCCTGAGGGAGGCTTCTAAGAATCAAAAAGGAAAGAAAGAAGGCGGGCGAATGGCAGCTCCTTCCCCACCTTTGATTAACCCCCCCCAGCAGAGAGGTTGGAAACGTTATGGGGGGTGGGAAGGGGACTACAAATCCCAGAAGCCCCCAACCCTCCTGGTCCCTAGCTGGCCACGCTCGTTGGGGGAAATTCTTGATTCCTGCAGTCCAAAAGGGGGGGGCGAGGGAGGGAAGTAATTTTTTCAGGCTCCTCTCCTTCAAACCGCAGGAATTGGGGACAGAAAGACAGAAAGGACGGATGAATGAGTGAGTGAGGGACCGAATGAATGAATGAATGAAAGGAGGGCGGGCCGCGCGTGGCTTTCCCGGCGCCTGATTGGCCAAGCGCCTCCACAGCCTGAGACTTACGGCGGCGCCTCTGGTTGGACAGCCGTTCTGCTCCTTTTGGGGGGGGGAGAACGTGGGCGGGGCTAAAGCAGAGCCGGAAGTCGGTGCCGGGCAGGCGGCAAGGAGGGAGGCTCTGCGGACCAGAGTGGGAACTGCGAGCCGGCTTTTCCCCCCCCACCATCTCCTGGGATCTGCTGACCTTTGACCCTCCATTTTCATTGAGGGGAGGGGCAGGGGCTTCCCCTCTATTTTCCGGTGGAGAAGCTCAGGCGCCCCCTCTCACTTGGACCTCCCCCTCGAGCAGGCTGAGATGCCTTGGGCCCTGGGGGTCAGACTGTGGGGGGGCAGTTGGGTGGGGAGGGCCTTGCCTCGAGGGGCGAGGGGAGCCTGGCCCCCCACTCACCCCTGAAGTGCCGCCCGCACCACCACCAGCAGCAGAAACAGGAGGGTGAGTCCCTGTCTGGGCAAGGAGGA